TGCACATGCAACCAAAAATCAGATAGAAACTTCAATAAAACAGAATATGTACAATGTCATGGCGCTCAATAAAGTTTGGTGATTTTTTAGAACACATATTTTGAAAGGATACAAGGATACATATGGTAAGGTTTTATGCAATAAGAATAAATGTTCGGCAAGAACGTTTGTACCTTCAATGGAGTGCTTGAAGTATATATTCGTTTGGCTTTTTTTATATTTGAATAAATCATCCAACATATATGAGGTACCAGAACAAATCACAAATATTGGTCTCCTACGAACTTACGTCTGGATGATACCTATCCATAAAATGGGGCTTTTGATGACTGTGTATACAACACCAACATTGCAACAGTAACACCTTGTGGAATTGGCGCTAGTTCAGACCTCCCAAAGTACTGCCGATCACTGAGTTAAGAACTTTGCTAACAAAAAATTATTTCACCGTAGACCTAGTGCGGATATCATTTTGCTCATGTGTAAAAGCCGTCTATTTCTTTCACTTCACGGCTATTCAACAGATTTCTCAACTATGGGTCTACTTACACAATCTTCACGCGGAGTGGGGTGATTGTGGAGCGTGTTTGTGACCCTATTTAAATGGACGAACTTCGACTACTTGGAAATGAACTACATCTACGAAATTTCCTAGAATTTACTTCCGCCATACTTCTAGTCCACTCCATTATCATTTCAACGACATTTATTGAAACTAAAAAATATTTTTTGTGTTTTTCCATTGTATTTTTTAACTTTTGATATTTTTACTAGCAAGTACCAGCTACTTCGTCAGCGAAATGTGCACCTTAAAATTTTAGATTCTTTCCAAGAGTTCGTGTTACGCACAATTTGTTAAGTTTGCCGAGGAGGATATTAGTAAAACCATTGCACAATGATCTCACATCCAATTTTTCTGTTCTAAACTATTTCAACGTCTGCATATGTAAACCCTAGAAACCAACAGTGACCTCAATATCAAATTTAAAAATTTCAGCTCTATCCCTCCATCCAATACCAAATTTAGTAACATTAAGTACGTATATCCAAAATAATCTACATCTCTCCATCTCATCAACAGATAACCAAAATTAGTACCATATAGCACTTTTTCAACAATTATAGGACGCATTTGCAAAACCAGCTCTATACATTCACTCAATACCAAATTAATTAACATTTAGTACTTTTCGTATAATTTAACTACCCATTTGCAAAACCGCTTCCATATCTTGAAAGATATGAAATTTCGGTAGTCCAGCTCTATCGATTCACCCGAAACTCAATTTAGTATCACTTAGCACATTTCGTACAATTATAGTACACATTTCCGAAACCACTTCCATATTTCCAGGCTACATATGAACAGCGACCATAATACCTACTTTCAGATTTCAAGCACTGTATGTTCCCTCAATACCAAATTGTACCAAATATAGTACTACTTGGTACTTTTCATTCCCAATTTCTTCAGTTCCAAGAATTAAATTTTGAGATTTTACAATTCTCCTTTTACATAATTCCAATTGGTACCAATTTTGGTGTCTTTGGTACACGCATTGTTAGAATTTCGAAAACCCCTTTAGTTTGTTTATCTGAAAGACTCCCACTCCAAATTTCAGACTTCCAGCTCTATTTCTTCCCCAAATACCAAAGTTAATAATTAATTTAGTAATTTTCGTACTTTTTAGTACGTATTTACCCAAGTACCGTATATAGTACCATTCAGTACTTTTTGGTACGTATTCTCAAAACCACCTTCAAATATGAACCCTACACTCAAACAGTGATCCTAATGCCAAATTTCCGATTTCAAGCACTATTCGTTCATGCAATACAAAATTTAGTACCTTTCCTACGCTTACTGAACGCATTTCGAAACCCAACTCTCTATCTAAATCCCTACCCACCAGCAGATACCCAATATTAGATCAACCTTTTCAACTAAAACCAAATATTACCGAATCTAGTACCAGTAAGTTCAGTTGTTATACTAAGCACATACACATACAAAAGTCAAGATTTTAGCTGTATTCGATCACAAAATAGCAAAAGGTACGAGATATAGTGTTTTTTAGTAATAACAAATCCATTTCAACGTTCGTTTGTCGGGCTGGTGCCCACGATAACTCTCGAAGGAAGTGTCCGATTTGTTCAAAACTTGGTACATCGTAATATTATTGTCAAATCGAGTTCGGAGATGGACAACATCGGTCCACACCTTCAAAAGGTCAACATTTTCAGAAAGAGGAAAGATCATTCGATTTTGTGCAAACTTGGCAAATCCCATTATTTTTGTTAGGGCTAGGTCAGGTGAGAAAATGGACAATATTGCCCACTCCATCAAGTACCTCCTCCACAAAGGAATAATTCTAAATCTTATGACATGTGAAATAAAAGTCCGATTGTCTTAAAATTTCACACATCTCAATATTTCTATCAACTTATTGGTCAACTCTTTCTGGTACCTCCCCCACACGGGGTCAATAGCCACGAAGCTCGTAGAACTCGAAATTACCATAAGGTTCCTTTCAAAGCCGACACATCTAAATATTTTTATTAATACAAGATTTGTTGAGAAGGTGGGATATATCGGTCTACTCCATTTAGAACCACCGCCAAAACTAGATTTTGAATAGCCATGGAGTTCGTAAAACGCAAAATGAGCATCAGATTCCCTTCAAACTCGGCACATCTCAATATTTCTATCAATGCAAGATCGGTTGAGAAGATAGAATATTTGGGTCCACTTCTTTTGGTAGCTCGTAAAACGTTAAATGAGCATCAGATTCCCTTCAAACTCGGCACATCTCAATATTTTTATCAACTGAGGATCTGTTGGGTAGATGGTAAATATCGGTCAACTCCTTCTGGTCATACCGCGCAAAGGGTCAACATTTTAAGTAACCAAAAACGATCATAAAATGCAAAATAGAATTCTCTTATTTCTACCAAAGCAACATCTGGTTCGAAAATGGAATATATCGGTTCACTTCTTCTGGTACCTTCCCCACAAACTGACAACTTTTTGACTAATTATAACCTTTCCTCTGTTCCATAACTTGCAAGAATCTACTATTTTTATACCCTCCCCCATAATATGTAGGGTATATTAAGTTTGTCATTTCGTTTGTAACACCATTTAGACTCCATAAAGTATATAAATTCTTGATCAGCGTAAAGTTCTATGTTGATTTAGCGATTTGGTATTTGAAGTTCATAATGGATGCTACAGCCTAAGACAGAAAATTGTCTAAGCAAGTCCACGTCTTCGTATAGCCCCCATTATAACGGTACCTCCCGATATTCGGTATTTTGATTTTATCGACATTATAACCGATTTTTATACCCTCCACCTTGGAAAGGAGGGTATGTTAACTTTGTCATTCCGTTTGTAACATCTCTTAATATTCGTCGTAGACCCCATAATGTATATATATTCATAATCAGCATAAAATTCTAAGATGATTTAACGATGTCCGTCTGTCTGTTAGCAGAATAATGGGATGGTTGGTATTGAAAATGAGATATATTGGTCCACGTTTTGGTATAGTCCACATATAACAGTACATACCGATATTCGGTATTTTGATGATTTTTGCCACACTTTTTCACGGATTTGTCTGAAAATTGATATTTGTAGGTCAAAATGGGTCCTAGTTCGTGCGGCGAAACATTGTATGCATAGGTCCACGCTTTGGTAAAGCCCCAATATAACGGTACATCCCGATATTCGGAATTTTGATGATCTTTGCCACTTTTTTTTCACGGATTTGTCTGAAAATTGGTATTTGTAGGTCATATTGGGTCCTAGTTCGTGCGCCGAAACATTGTATGTATAGGTTCACGATTTGGTATAGCCTCCATATAACGGTATCTTCCGATATTCGGTATTTTGATGGTTTTTGTTATATTTTATCACTGATTTGTCTAAAAATTGGAATTTGTTGGTCATAATGAATTTTTGCTCCGTTGGGGAAATATTGTTTGTATAGGTGCACGATTTTGTATAGCCCTATATAGCGGTATCTCCCGATATTCGGTATTTTGATGATTTTTGCCACATTTTCCCACGAATATGTCTAAAAATTGGTATTTGTGGGTCATAATTGGTTCTAGTGTTTCCATTACCCTAAGGTGGAGGGTATTAAAAATTCGGCCCGGCCGAACTTAATGTTTTTTTACTTGTTTAAGATTCGCATTTGAATATTGTAATGGCTTATAACAAATGTTACCTACGCAGGTTCATGTCTTCATATAGACCATAATATAATAGCTACATTCGGTATTTATAAGATTTTAGCAGATTTTTAACGGATTTTATTGTTTTTGAGAATTGCCAAATTCGTTCCAAATGGTGGAGGGTATTCAAAGTTCGTCCCGGTCGAACTTAGAGTTATTTTAATTGTTTAACATGTAAAACATGTCAGCGATTTCAAACTTCGTGTATCTCAATATTACTGTTAACCATAGATTTAATAGGTTTTTAACTGGTTGAACAAATTTGAGTGAACGAAAATTTAAATACCGATATTTGTAACATTAGGGTAGCCTCATAGTTCTATATTTCCCATCCTAATGGCGATAAGTATAAAATAAATTCTACATAATAAATTAGATCAGTAGCTATACGCACCGGTTGCTCATAATGATTTACAAAAGCCAAATGTAATTATTCAGATGAAAATTTATACTACTTACGACTACTACTTAATCCTTACCAAAGAAATCTTGAAAATTGTTCCATATGAGAAAATATATCTTATTTAGAAGTAAAAAAATATGACTTGATCCACGGTAAAAACATTTAAACCTCTTCACAAAAACGTTAAAGATTTTCACACATTCATTTTTTCTTTCTTTTTCTTTTAATGCAAAATCCCAAAACATCATTTGGTGATATCCTATCAAAACACCAACACACACATCTACTCGCCGACTCGTTGTCTTACGGAATTTCAACTGTCTGCTGCCACCACGCTTGCTTTTGCTGTCTATAGTTATGCGATGTTACTTTGGAAGTTGGCGGTGAAACCTTACATGCCCACAAAGTGGTTTTAGCCTCAGTCTCCCCCTATTTCTATGCCATGTTCAATGGTAAGTAACGGAGCAAATCCCTAAATGCAAAAATATACCTACGTTTTTGAGACACAAATGGGAATTACACATATGAACACATATATGTATATTTGTATGTGTATGTGGGGCTATTTGCCAGTATGTGAAATATTACATTCTTATCAAGTCTCCGCCAGCCAGACAAACACTCCTTTAATGCTCTTAAAATTGACTACCATAATATTTCATGCTCTGAATTTACCCTCCTCCCATCTTTTTTGTTTCTTCCCGCCTTCTATATGTCCTTTACAGATGATATGCTGGAACGTACACAGGGTATTGTACGTCTGCATGACATTGATGTAACTGCCCTCAAACATTTAATCGATTACATTTATACGGGAGAGATTACCATAACCGAACAAAATGTTCAGGTCCTATTGCCTGCATCGAGTCTGCTGCAAATGCATTCGGTTAGGGAAGCCTGCTGTAAATTTTTGTTACGTCAGTTACATCCTTCGAACTGTTTGGGTATTCGTAGTTTTGCCGGTAAGTTGGGGGTGGAAACTGAAGATGAATAACATGTATTGGAAGGAGATTTCATAACTTTCTCATTACAGATGCCCATTCGTGCAAGGAGCTGCACACCAGATCGCATAAATATGCATTACAAAATTTCCAACAGGTCGTTGGAACAGAGGAATTTTTATTACTGCCATTTGAAGAGGTAAGTTTCGGGTGTCTTGGAAAGAGACGGAGATTGGATTTCAACATTTTCGTAGTTCAATATATACAAATTGAACTTAAATCTTTAACAAATAGTTAACGAAGAATTAAAATTTAAAGAGACAGGACAATCGGATGGTTGTTGGTTCGGGTGTGTGACTATGATTTGTATTTGTTTGCTGTGGGGAGGAGATCGGTTAGTGGAAGCTGGCTAAGAGCATTGAGCTGGGAGCTTGAGCTGCCTGAGAGCGTGCTAAGGGCTGGGAGTTTGTTAAGAAGATAGGAGCTTTTGACTGCATTGAATCTAACATTTGCCATGATAATTGGAAAATATTGAGTATGGGGTATATTTAAAATGTGACTTGAAAGTGTTATAGTGAGAAATCCATTGAATAACTACCTAGTTGAGATTTGCTCGTTCTTACTCCCAATTAAAACGCACCCTCGAGCGGGAGTGATCTAAGGTTGTAAGTTTTATATAAAGTTGATTGTCCACTCGTTATACCCTACACCACACTGTGGTCAGGGTATTTTGCCTTTGTGCATTTGTTTGTAACACAGAGAAGCAAGCGAGAGAGACCCATAGTTCATTTCAATGATCTGCATAGAATCACATTCTGAGTCGATTTATGCATGTCCGTCTATCCATGTATTTTTTTAAGCAATGTATAGGTCGCACTTATTGCCCGATCGGGATTAAATTTTATACAAATAACGTGGTTGGCCCAATTAGATATAGCTCCCATACACATATATAGCTTCGTCCGATTTACCTATTATTGTCCTCCAAATTTGTAATATTAGTCCAAATAGTATGGAATTTATAACATACGATCAAATTGAGCCTATAAGCAAGTATCTCAAATTTTGTGGAAATCGGTTTGTGCATAGCCCCCATACATATTGTCCATCCGATTTGTCCAATTTCTTCTCCATAGCCGCGATATGCACAGATTAGAAATACATTTGCCAAATTTTATCGAGATCGGTTTAGATTTGGATATAGCTCCCATATATATCTTTATCCGATTTCAAATTTATTGTGCACCAAATGGTTAATATAACCCCAAATTGAATGGATTTTGGCAAATACAAACGAATTAAGCCTGGAAGTAAGTCTATCAAATTTGAAGAAAATCGGTTAAGATATAGCTATATGTCCAATATGCATGTTTTATCCGATTTTGTATTTAAGTCCCTCAGACCCGCAAAATGGTCTTCACAACAACTATATTTGATCCCTGCTATCACATACAGCATAGAAATACCTCTGCTCAGTTCAGATTTGGGTATAGCTCCCAAATATATATATCTTCATCCGATTTCACGTTTATTATGCCTAAAAGCGTAGTATTAGCTCAAATAATATGGATTTCGATGAATATTAGTTCAGACACAAATGCCAGAATACCTCCTTGAATACTCTAACAAAATTCTAATCAAATTGAAAGAGTTATCTTCGACTCCCAGAGTTTGTCAGATCTATTTAAATTTTTCTAAATTTTATTTTCTTCTTCTCTCCCTCTCTTTCTCCTGCAGGTCAAAGATTTAATATCAAACAATTTGCTGAATATATCCTCCGAGGAGAAAGTGTTCCATGCCGTGTTGAATTGGGTCAAGCACGATTTGGATGAGCGTCAAAATCACATTGCTGAATTGATGAGTCATGTGCGTTTACCTCTTGTAAGCCGTGACTTTTTGATGACTTGCGTGGAGACGGAACCGCTGATCCGTGAAGATTCACAATGTAAGGAGTTGCTGTTGGAGGCAATGAAATATCATCTCTTGCCCGAACAAAGAAGTCTTATGGGCAGCCAGAGGACCCATGAACGAAGACCGGACGGTATGAAGCCCTATGTATTTGCTGTTGGTGGTGGCAGTCTCTTTGCCATACACAATGAATGTGAGGTTTATAATCCACGGACAAATGCCTGGTCAACCATTGCCCCAATGTTGTGGCGTCGTTCCCGATCGGGTGTGACCGCGCTGCATAAAAGTCTATACGTGGTGGGTGGTTATGATGGTGTCAATGATCTGGCCACCGCGGAGTGTTACAGTCCATTGACCAACAAATGGACCTACATTACACCCATGGGTACCAAACGCTCTTGCTTGGGTATTTGCTCATTTGATGGTTTGCTATATGTATGCGGTGGCTATGATGGAGCTTCGTGCTTGAGTAGCACAGAACGTTATGACCCGTTGACTTCGATTTGGAGTTCTTGTCCGGCCATGAATACACGACGCCGTTATTGTCGCCTGGCTGTTTTGGATAATTGTATCTATTCACTGGGTGGTTTCGATTCCACCAATTATCAGTCGAGTGTGGAACGTTTTGATCCAAGAGTTGGACGCTGGTATCCGGTGCCGAGTATGACGGCTAGACGAAGCAGTTGTGGTGTGGCCTCGGCAGATGGTTACCTTTATTGTATTGGAGGTAATGATGGCACCATGTGTATGTCCAGTGGTGAGAGGTTCAATTTGCGACGCAACTGCTGGGAACCCGTAGCCGCCATGCATTCACGTCGGTCCACCCATGAAGTTGTGGAAGTAGATGGTGCCCTATACGCCTTGGGCGGTAATGATGGCTCTTCTTCGTTGAATTCCGTGGAACGTTATGATATACGTTTGAACAAGTGGACCATTGTTAATTCGATGGTGGCTCGACGTAGTTCGGTGGGTGCAGCCGTCTTGGATTGCTTCCATTTGGAAAGGGGGCTAGTACAGACTACAAATTTATGACCCGCACTGAGCTCCATTGCTGAATCGTTTGCTAATGCAGCTGCCGCTAATGGCACGGCGACGGGAACTCTTTCGAAAAGTTCCTCACCCACTGCCACTAACGGCATGACTACATCAGCAACGGCATCTGTTGCTGCTGCCACATCATCAAATTCTGTGACTTCAACATTGTCTTCTCTGGCATCGACATCTTCGAACAGTGTCACCACCACCAACAATCCAATCTTGCCTGGCCGAGCAGTGAGCGGACGTAGCATGCTTTCGGGGGATCTATTAAATGTAGTCTTGCCACCAACCTATACTCTAAGCACCTCGGCGCCATCATCATCGACATCCACCTTGAGGCGGCACCGTGATCGCAACCCAGCCCCGGAGCCTAGCCCTCGCACTGAGCGGCCCAACAGCGAAGATGGCAGCGGCAAACCATCAACTGCCTGATACTTGTACTACAGATAAGATAAGGCGTTCGACCTACAGTTTTGACATATGCCCAACGAATTCACTGCCTTCTTACTACCCAGTTCTTCGCCTCCTGCTCCTTCGATTTACCTTCCCTTTTGCTGTAGGTGGTACAAGAGGGCCAAGGCCCTAAAACAAAATCAAACTCTTCTCTAAAAAACAGATCCCGCAAGAGAGCAAAAGAAAGAAAGGAAACGTTTAAAATACTGGTATCTTATTAGGGAATTAAAATATACAAAAGAAAACCTATCTGAACACTTACACTTTAATCTATGGATCGAAGAAGCCTGTAGCTGGACATACTAGAACTTTTTTTGTATTGTGGAATTGATTTAAATTACTCTTAAGAAATAAACAAAAGACCAAATTAATAAATGCCTTGCACAAGCTATACAAGGTGTTCTAAATATACATATATAATAATCATAAGTATTGATTGGATTTCATAAAGGAATTCACTAAAACAAATATGAATTTATAATAGAGTCGAACCTAACCTAACCAAAACTAAACTTAACCTAACCTAAAACAACAAGCCCACTTACATCTTTTTTATGAAATATTGAGAATAGCATAAATTTTTTTGCTCTTATGAACAATTTTTTTATAAAATGTTTAATGAAAAATTACAAAAACAAAAAAAACACAACTATTGATAACTTATCAAAACATCAAAAAGGAAAATTATTCATAACTTACAAATAAACAAAATAAATAAATATAAAAGCAAATCTGAAAAGATTTGCCATATTCTCTATGGTATTAAGAAATGAAAATAAAAAAACACATTCATAATTTATTCATATTTCTAATAAAAAAAGTGTTTCAAAAGTTCAATAAAAACGTTGTTTCATTAATTAATGGTATCGAGAGGGGTATTTCTAAGCTGCATGCGAAAACATTGCATTGTTTTAGAATGCAAAATATGACCATGAAATGCATACTATAATAAAAAATAGGATATGCAGACCGATTTGGTCCTACGTTTATTCTCCCTGTAACTTTATGCAACATGTATGTGAGCTCTGTATCGATATTTAAAAATGACACTTATGGGATAGGAACTACAAATTAATTTGAGATTGTGTTCTAAAATAAATGTTGCATTTGGTGTACAAAATCATATATCCAAATCATAGCCGATTATAACCAATTTCAATAGGACTAATCCTTGGGTCAAACTATTGATCTCTTTTCTTGGAATTTGTATTAACTTAATTTATATATAAGAATAGCTTCGCTTCAGTGCTTTCAAAAATTTTATACAAATACTTTGTGGTTTTTAAATGAAAATAAAACGTTTTCAAGAATTTAAACCAGTAGGGAAATTTCAAAAGCCGGGCGGGTCTATATGATACTCTGCACCACTATGCATATTTAGTAGAGCTCCCGTAACAAAAGAATTTATTTCTAGTAGATCATACCACTTATCAACATTTGGCTTTAGAGCAGTTATAGTTTGCTTAGAGTGCATGATATCACTTGGAGAAGGATTATATTAAAAACAAGTTAAAAAGCTGTAAGTTCGGCCGGGCCGAACTTTTAATACCCTCCACCACTTGGTACAAATTTGGCAATTTCCAAAAAAAAAAAAAAAATATATAAAATCCGTTAAAAATGCTGTTAAAGTCTTAAAAATACCGAATGCTTATACGACGACGTGGGCCTGCATAGGCTACCTTTGTCATAAGTTATTACAATATTTAAATGCGAAACTTGAAGAAAAATCTGTTTATAATGTAGCTAAAATCATCAAAATAGCGAATATGGGGGGTACCGTTATATGGGGGCTATATGAAGACGTGAACCTGCACAGACAATTTTCTGGCTTGGGCTGAAGTATCCATTATGAACTTCGCATGCAAAATTTGAAACAATTCCGGTAAATAATGTCGCTAAAATCATCAAAATACCGAATATCGGGGGGTACGGTATATGGGGGCTATATGAAGACGTGGACCTATATGGGCCATTTTCTGTCTTATGCTGCAGTATCTATTACGAACTTCAAATGCCAAATTTCCAATTCCGGTGAATAATATCGCTAAAATCATCAAAATACCGAATATCGGGAGGTAGCGTTATATGAGGGCTATGTGATAAATTGGACCTACATGGCCCATTTACGAACTTAACCTGCCTACTGGCAAAATATACATGTGTGCAAAATTTTAGCCTTCTATCTCAATTTGTTCGAAAGATAGCGTGATTACAACAGACAGACAGACAGACACACAGACAGACAAATGGACATGGCTAAATCGTCTTAGAATTTTACGCTGATCAAGAATATATATACTTTGTTGGGTCTAACATGAGTATTTCGAGGAGTTACAAACGGAATGACAAAATTAATATACCCTCCATAGTATGGTGGAGGGTATAAAAATATATCGCCGAGTTGCACAAAATAAAAACGTACATTACGAAATTCACTCCATTTGGGCTGATATTAGCCATTATTTTTATATGGAAGCTATAGCTATATCTAAAGCGATTTTATCCGAATTCCATGTACTTGCTTCTAGGCTGAATTCGGCCGAATGTACCAAAATTCAGGACTTTGGACTGATATTGGTCATTTAGTGCACATTTAACCAGAAATCGGTTGAAGATATATATCGGACCTTTATCCAAATCTGAACCGATCTTAATAAAATTTGGCAGAGGTATTTCTAGGCTGTATCTGATAACTGGTACCAAATATCATTGTTGTTGAATGCATATTACGAATGTGAGGGACTTAAACGCAAATCACATGAAACATATCTATATATATATATATATATAATCTATAGCTATATCTGAACCGATTTTCGCCAAATTTAATATACTTGCTTCTAGACTGAATTCGGTCGGATATGCCAAAATTCGGGTCATTTGGACTGATTTTGGCTATATGGTACACAGTTAACCCGAAATCGGTTGAGGATATACATAGGAGCTATATCCAAATCTGAACCGATCTTGACAAAACTTGATACACTTATGTCAGAGCTGTATCTGATATCTGATACCAAAGATCATTGTGGAATGCATATCACGCTTGTGAGGGACTTTTAACACCAAATCGGATAAACATATAAATGGAAGCTATATCTGAACAGATATAGCTTCCTGTTCTACTCCTACACAATATGCTTAATTTAGTGTAATTTAGTTTTTTTTTCGTTCACGTCTTGTACGCATTCCAAATCAACCTCTTTCTAACTAAATTCCAACATTCCACCTTTATTCATTCACCCAAAACCACATTGTTCCAAATTTTGTACCACATAGAAAATTTCTTGCACTTAGTACACATTTCAAAAACCATCTTACTAACTCCAACAGTTGACTCTTATACAAAATTTCAAGATTTTATCTCTATCTGTTCACATAATTCTAACTTCCACCAAATGTAGTGTATTTTAGTAATTTTGGTGCACATATTGTTAGAGTTTCCAAAAACCCTTTGGTTGGTATGGCCTACACAACACAAAAAAACCTCATTTAGAACTTCAGATTTCCAACTCTCCTCCTTCTCGAAGACTCTCTCCTAGAACACTTTTTCAAAACCACCTCAAAATCTCAATGCAATACATTCACAGTGGCTCTAATGCCAAATTTCAGATATCGAACACTATCCGTTCACCCAAAATCAAATTTAGTACCTCTTAGTACTTTTCGTACATTTTTGGCACGCATTTACAAAACCACTTCATTATTTCAAACCTACTCACCAGCAGTGGCCCCAATACCAACATTTCAAAATTATTATTTGAGTTTCCAAAAAACCTTGTATTCGTCTATCCTACAAAGCATAAGAGACCCTCATACCAAATTTCAGTAGTACACTTTTCAAAAAACACCTCCAAATCTAGACCTTACCTTATAAAAATGGAGCTTAATATTAAATTTAAGATTTCCAAATACATCCCTTCCCCAAATACCAAAAATTTCGGTGATATTTAGTGCTTTTCGTATTTTTTTGGTAATACGATCACGATCAAATCTTAGCCCCACACACATACAGTGATCCCAATATAAAGATTTCAAAATTCCAGCTCCATCCATCAACACTAAATACCTGGACCTGCATATACAATTTGTAGTAGCCATTACGATCTTCGAATTACAAATTTCGGGTGGAAAGTGTAGCACAAATCATCAAAATACCACATAACTCGTGGTACATATATGTGGGGTCTATGACAAAACGTGGACCGCATCTGAGTAAAATTTTATCAACCTAAAGCCAGAGAGACGGACGTACATTGCTAAATCGACATAGATGTCTATACTGATCAATCTGCTTTGTGGGGTGTACAATTTATATTTCGAGGTGTTACAAACGGAATGACAAACTTAATATACCCTCCATACTACTCCTTAAAAACGGAATGATAAACTTAATATACCCTCTATACTATTGTATAGGGTGGTACTATAGAGTTTGGAGCATATTGTGTACTTACCACGCTTTATACGAGACGAAGAATATACTCTATTCGAAGTATATACTCTATATACTCTGCGCGAACCCGCCAGACCGATGAATGATCGGACATTGTTAGGTCGATCCCAAATGTGCCGAAGCGAATTTCGTCTAAAGAAATATAGGGTCCAAAAGGACCCTATACACGTTTGGGCTTGGGCTAAAAATGTTTAATACTGGACGATGAGTGTTTCCCTCATTCCTAACAGGTGCAGTTGACGTGAGATTAGTTTGGTTTTCAGGCTACTTTTGAGCAAAAAAAAAAAAAAAAAACAGTATTTTGTACTAAAAAGGTACGACAATTTATTGCAATTTGAAAAACAAAAAACATTTTTCAAAAATTTAGATTTTCAGCAGCAGTATAAAAACACATTTTGAAAACAATTCGGAAGATAAATTTGTTAACAAACAAAAAACGTAAGGCACATAATTATTCATTGTGTTGCATATTTTGCTAGACCAAACGATCTGCCGTGTGGTGAGCTAATGCTCCCACACTTTTTGTCCCCAAGGAATGTTTGCCTAAAGTCTTTGTGGATCCATCAAGCCAATAATCAACGCCAACTGCAAAATGTTGGGAGAAATAATAAGAATTAACAAACAACGAAATTGACATGTTCTTTTAAACAGAAATTATATCGCTTCTTTTATTAGTTTATATAGTTATTAAACAAATCGTAGACAGCATTTAAGGAAATTGCTTGTTTTTTTTTTAACAATAACTTTTTTATTTGTTTCTTGTTTAAGTATGCTTTTGTATGTGCACTTGACACATTGGCGAAATGCGAATATGGTAATAAAAATTATTCAGAGTTCGCTGTGAAGCTTTTTACAAAAGCAACTCAATTATTGTTTAACAATTTTTGTGTGTGTTTCACTTAACTTAAAAACTACATGACGAAATTATACATTTTTTATATCCATAGATTAGAAGAGGGAGGAGCTGCTACTAAATTGCAGATAAATTTTGTGTTTCCCATATGGATACAGCATTTTTAAAACAATAAAAAATATAAAATAAATGTAAAAGTTATTATAAATGAAATTAACAAAAAAGTGATTCGAAATGAATAAAACTGAATGGCTCATCAAATGCATTTCTAGAATAAAGTTCATGTTAGTGTAGCTGCTGCTGTTGCTGATGTCGTGGAAGATCAAATAAATCCTCCGGCAATGCTATATATTATTGAAGTTCAAAATAGATAGCAATAAATTCATATCAAAAAGCAGAAAGAAATACAAAAAGAGAGATAGAGAAAATACAAGTAAATTTTTCATTTACATCTCTGTGAACAATAAGTTTTGTAAATTCAT